AAAAAAAAAAAAAATTAGTAATTAAAATTTATTAATTCATTTTATGCAATACGTAGTGTTAATTCATTCTAATGCTATATATATATATAGTTTAATGGAGTTGAACTTACGTAAATATTTGGTACAACAATATTACACCTAAATTCAAAATAAATATATACGGCTAAATCTCTTCCGATTTCCATATGTTCAAATCGTTGTACGTAACAAATGAAGCATTCACTACAAATAGTTATGTGTATGACAGCAAAAGAAAGAATTGGAACATTTCTCGCCTTACTAATCTGCTTTTACAATAATTTTCAGTACAAGTTATAGTGCAAAATTGACCATCTTCCGCATTCAAATAGTATATCACTCCGCAAGTTAACAGTACTACGTACGTAATTGCAACACATGATACCGAAAAAGAATGGTGGGAAGTCCGATTTTCAGAAACAATTAATGATTGGTTTTCAAGCTTTAAAAAAAAATATATAAAGTTGCGGTCCATCTTTTTTTTTTCTTAACGTTGTCTTGACGTGTTTATAGATTTATGAACTATTTTTCTTTCTATGTATGCTATTTTTAAGATTCAAAAATTTAAACATATCTATAATATATAAAAAATAATTTACTATATATATGTCTTGTTTTTGATAACGCTTATTAAAAAAGTTGCTTGAATTTCTACAATATTTAAAATATCTACAATATCTACAATATCTAAGATATCTACAATATCTCAATATCTACAATAATGGTATTTGGAAACTCAAAATCTCCTCCGCCTTCACATTCAAATGTTGAAATCCCCGAGGCGAAAGCCAATATATTTTCTTTAATCACTTTTTGGTGGACCAATAATATAATGAGTTTAGGTTATAAACGTCCATTAGAAAAAGATGATCTATATGTGTTGAATGAAGAGAGATCTGCTAAAATTGTCACTGATAGCTTTGAAGTCGAATGGAAGAAAGAACTTCAAAAAAAAAAAGAGCAGGGAAAGAAACCATCATTGTTTAAAGCTTTAAACAGGGTTTTGTGGCTAAGGTTTTCCGTGGCAGGGATTTGTAGATTTGTTAGTGATATGCTACTAGTTACTTCTCCTTTGGTTTTAAAAGTATGTATGTTTCACGTACACTTGTGCATTTTGCCACGTGATTAGCATTACGCGTCTCGGAAAAAAAATTAATCTTTTAATATTTTCATATTTTCATATTTTCGATAGTTATTATTGAATTTCGTCTCTGAAGCATATTATGGTTTGGATCCACCTGTACATATTGGATATGTATTAGCTGTTGGCATGTTCTTAATGCAAATGGTTGCTACCGTTTTACAAAACTTATATTTTTATTACGCAATGGAGACTGGTTTTCTCTCTCGTACTATTCTTATAACTGCCATTTATCGGAAAGCTTTAGTAATAAGTGGTAAAGCTAGAGGCCTATTTACTAATGGCAAAATCACTAATCTAATGTCCACTGATACTACGCGCATAGACTTTGTATGCGGTTATTTTCATATAGTTTGGGCTGCTCCTATTCAAATCTGCGTAGCATTGGGTTTGCTAATAGTAAATCTTGGTCCATCTGCGTTAGCTGGTTTTGCTTTATTGGTAGTTGTGAGTCCTATGCAAGGAAAGGTTATGTCTTTGTTGGCACGTACCAGAGCTAAAGCTGCTGGTGTTACAGACGAACGAGTAAAATTGACTCAAGAGATGTTATTAGGTATTAGAGTTATTAAATATTACGCTTGGGAAGAAAGTTTTGCCGATGCTCTTAATAAATTAAGAAATAGAGAAGTTAGTTTGGTTAGGTTTTTGTTAGTTATTAGAGCTGCTATTACTGGTGTTTCATTGGTAATTGCTCATTTTATACTTGTTTTTTATACTCTTTTTTTTTTTATACTTTTTTATATTTTTTATATATTTTTTATACTTGTTTTATATTTGTTTATATATCATTACTTATATTATTGCTTATATCGTTCTCGATTATTTTTTAGGTTGTTCCTGTATTCGCTAGTATCTTGGCATTTATAACGTTCTCATTGACAGGAGGCAGTCTTGAACCCGGAATCATATTCTCTTCTTTGGCATTATTCAACATTCTCCGATTACCTTTAATGTTCATACCAATGGTGATAGCTTCCATTACTGACGCTTATGTAGCAATTAATCGTATAAGTGAATTTTTGCAGGCTGATGAATTATCAGTTTTACCAGATATAGATCCAAATGAAAAAAATGCTATCAAAGTTACTGATGGTGAATTTATTTGGGAAAGTGCTCCACCTGAAGAAATTGCTAATAAATCAAAAAAAAAGTTGAAAAAAGCAAAAAAATCAAAAAAACATAAAAAAGATAATAAGAATGAAAATAATAATTCTTCAAAAGTTGTTGCTAATGAAAAATCTCCAGCTCCGAATGATGATTCTTCAGATACCTCTACATCTTTGACTCCTGCTGATTTGGCTGAAAATCTTGAAAATTCTCTCCCACTTTCTCCAAAATCTCATCTTCGTAATATCAATGTTTCAATACCTCATGGAAAGTTGATTGCTGTTGTTGGTTCCGTAGGATCCGGTAAATCTTCTCTATTATCTGCTTTGGTGGGTGAAATGAAAAAAGTTAAAGGTGATGTCTTATTTGGTGGAAACGTTGGGTACTGTCCTCAAACTGCGTGGATTCAAAATGCTACACTTAGGAACAATATTACTTTTGGTTTACCTTTTGATGAAGAAAAGTATCAAAAAGTTATTAAAGATTGTTGTCTAGAACCAGATTTAGAAATGTTACCTGCTGGTGACATGACAGAAATTGGAGAGAAAGGAATTAATTTATCTGGAGGGTATGCTATAGTTTTTATTAATTATGTATTAATAAAAATCATGGTTTTTAAAAAACAATTTTCCTTTATGATTTTTTAGACAAAAACAACGTGTTAACATCGCAAGAGCCGTGTATTACGATGCTGATATTGTGTTATTAGATGATCCATTATCAGCAGTTGATGCACATGTTGGAAAATATTTATTCACAAATTGTATTCAAGGTGCACTTGCCAAAAAGACGCGTGTCCTTGTCACGCATCATTTACATTATCTACCACATGTCGATTACATAATATGTATGGAAGATGGTGAAATTGCTGAACAGGGAACTTATGAAGAATTAATGAAAGATGGTAAAGCCTTTGCAAAGTTAATTGCTGAATATGGTGAAGCAGGAAGTGAAAGTGATGATGATGATGATGATGATAAAAAGAAAGATGATGATGAATCAACACCAGACGAAAAAGAACAACTAAAAAAAGATCAAGCTGTTTTATCTAAAGGGTTAATGTCAACAGAAGAACAGTACTCAGGTGCAGTGGATAATAAGGTGTACTTTGCATATATTAGGAATGCCGGAGGATTGTTGTTGATACCTGTCCTGCTTTTCTTGCTTGTTATGATGCAAGGAACAAATATTGGGTACGTTTTCATCATATATTAATATTAATAAAATTTTGGACTGCCTATACAATCTTATAGCTAATTTATAACTCTGGATTTCTTTTATTTTAGAAACAATTTATGGCTTTCATTCT